AAGAATTAGAAAGAAAACATCCTTACATCACAACAGCCAAGGGGATCACCTCTCGCAGCATCAAATCCAGCTGATATGATGGTCAGATCAGGAGAAAACTGTTTAGCTGCCAACCCAAATCAGTGTCACATTATCAAAGGAATACGTAATAGAGGGAGAAAGAAAACTTCACAAATGTACAAAAAAAAGTTCATCTATCCGGACTCCACAGACCATAGAAAGTTTATATTACAACAATAGGAAGCAAGTAATAAAACAAATAAAAGGAAGCAAGCATATTTGCTTATATTATGTATCATGTTAGATAAAGAAATATATTCCAAAAGATATTAAAAACAACTAATAGTTATAAGTGAAAGAAGTATGTAGAATTCCAGGCTATAAATCCAAAAATTCTCTTCTTTTCTTTTATTAATTGCTGGAAATTTTACATACAAGCGCCACAAATACAATAAAATACACCTATTCTAATAGGATCTTAATAACGTACTGCCAAATAAACTTTATCCAAACTGAATACGAACTAACAATTTTAGGAATTAAAATAAGACAAGAACATAAAATAATAATAAATAACTAAGGGAAGACTTATTCACTTTTGCTTAGGAATTTAACGAAGCATAAAAAACAACATACCCATTATATGCATCTCTGTGGTTTTGTGCTTAACAATTGATGCTTCCAAATTATCTAGAAAGAAATTCTAATATTAATCCAAGCAATACCTATCGGAAGCACAATATGCTGAAATGCGAATATATAGTCATTATCACCAACTCCCCCACACTTCCAAGGAACATTCACTGAGTAACCTTCTGCACCTAAGCTTCCAACCTAAGTAGGAAAAATCCATTACTAAACTGACTAGCAGAACCAACACATGTCCTAACCATTTATGCCACATAGAATAAGTATACAGCAATTAGAATGAAAATATTTGAATCATCATGGACACTTGAATGCATGAAAGCAGTAATCTACAGACTCAAGACAGCATAATGCTCATGTAATAAGATATCCAACAAGTTTTCAAGAAAGTCCACAAGATGAACGAATGCATGCACACAACATGGACAATGAATGCATGCTTCGACACACTTGCATATGCATGAGTAACCGCACATGCACACATCTTGCATATTGATAGATAAACAGACACCACAATTCTGTTAGATCCTTTTTTGATAAGTAGCAGTTGTACAAGAGTTCATCTTAAAATTAAACAGGTTCCCAGTGCCAACACACAACAGCAAATACAATGTTTACCAATAATTGTAAAAGCGAAAATTAGATTGAATTACACAGATGCTCCACCAAATTAAAGACAAAAGGAATCCTTTGCCAAGTAATAGAAGTATGACAAAGAAAAGACACACGAAGATGGTGACTGGTATAAGCGTCGTCCCAAAACTAATAAGTCCAATCGCAGAAACTCTCTCGCACACACACACACGTATGCCTCATCTAGCCACTCCAAATAAAAATACAAAAAAATTATGTACATACCATATTTAACTATAGTAATTTTGCAGAGGTCCAAAATTTACAAGGAGGTCCACCAGTCCAATGTATCGAATTGTTGGTTTTTTCACCCTTTTTTATTTTTATTAATTTTGCCCCTCAGTCCAATGTTCCAAACTCGGATCACTTTTTTATCTTATTTTTCTAACTTTTTCAAAATATAGGGATTGGTCCGAGATTCCACACCTCGGATTGCTTGGCTTGTGTGAACATTGTGGAAGCCACACGCTCCGAAATCTGCAATTCTGGACTAATCCCTAGACTACGAAATTCGCAATCTAGGAACCAGAGGTATTGAACTTCATACTGCTTCGCTTGCACAATGTGCATGCAAGCCAAGCAATCCAAGGTCTAGAACCTCGGACCGCTTGGCTTGCACAATCTTCACAAAAGACAAGCGGTCTGAGGATCTAGATCTAGGAATGGTCCCTACACTTCAAAAAAATTAAAAAGATAAGATAAAAAAGAAGCTAATGTTTAGACCATCAAACAGAGGGGAAATTTTGGAGGGAAAAAACAAATGGACCTCCACATAAAATTTGCGAAAATATGGACCTTGGCATAATTTTGTATTTTATTTATGGTATGGACATAATTTTTCCTAAAAATAACTATAGGCTGGTTAGATATATACTCTTATCACATACATATACAAATGTATATATATATATATACACAACCATAACATATAAGAGAGAAGAGAGATTATCATACAGCAGTCCAAGCATATCAAGATACCTCATCAGCAGCTCCAGTACCAGGATAAAATCGCCCGCCTTCATGTCTATGTAAAGATATGTAGAGCACCTACATTAAAATGGTTGACCACAAGTCCACAACTCATACATCATACAGTGGTCAATAAAAGTGGAAATTAAGTATTTTGCTATTCTTTTCAAGTTGTAATATGCATGCAAAGAGAAGAAGAAAGAATGTAACTAAATCAACACTGCCAAACTCAACAATCAAGTAATAAAATGCAAAGATACGAAAACACAAACCAAATCCTTTATAATAAATCTTCTCAAACAAAAGTAATTCAGCTACATGGTGAAGCCTGTACACGGGACAGGGTTGGGTCTATGAACCTTGAGAACACGTAACCCAAGAAATTCAAAAGCAACCCCATAGCCAAGATTGACAAACTTTGGATGATAAAACCATCAAGTGCTTGAGAAATATTCCAGAAAGATCTGAAACCAATCATTAGGAATCCCCCCACTGTTATCGACCTATTGTCCTTCAAAATACATGAAATTCTCAAAAAGTGAAATCAAAAGTCTTTTCCTGATAGTATTTTGAAATCACCCCAAACAAACCAAGATAATAATAATTAAAAAAGAAAAAATGAGTAGTTTTAAAAAATAAATAAAAAAAGTTGAAATTCACGCAAAACCTCTACAAAAAATACTACCAAATAGAACTTAGTTAAAAAAAGAAAAAATGAATTGCGGCAATTTTTTGTTAATAGGGAAACCATTACAAATGAATAATGAGCAAAACAAAGAAGAAACATGAGATCCCCAGTAGGCAGTAGTTAGTCGTTCTAGATGAAGACAATATTTTCAATCCACATTCCATTTGATAAACCTGATACAAACTTGATAAATGAACTAATCTAATAAATGTACTACTTAACGTAATCAATACAATCAATATGCCTCACTCAGGAAAGGTTTCTGCAAGTACATTACAGATAAGGAAAACCCTGCTATCTCCACTACCACGTGATGAAGTTTCTAACCCTGTAAACTAAAAATATCATACACATAATACAACAATTGATGTCTGTGTGTTTTCCATACAAGCCAATAACAGGAAAATCAAAAATAAATTTTTGAATCATTGAACAATTTGCACTAGGAACAAGAATGCTAGCAATTTTCTACCAAAAAAATAAAAAATCGAGTTAGAATGAGATTTTATCGATACTCACAGATGGGTTAGCCTCAAATATTTCTTGCGTTCCATTTCCATGGTGTACATCCTACGCACAACATGAGAACGAGTAAGTACCAGGAAATCCAGGAATATGAACTTAACATTTATCCGACCTCCTACAAAAAGGATAAGAAAAACTACTACTACTAAAGCGATCAACAATAACAAAAACACAAGTAGGCAGAAACACAAACAATATTGCAAGAGTGGTCAAGGTTACCCAATCAACAATTAAAACTCTATTTGCACCTGCAGCCTGAGCTGCCAATGCAGCAACCGCTGCATTATTGTGGAGGCAAAAACCCATAGCAAGATGCACACCTGCATGATGTCCAGGAGGCCTAACCTGGCCCAATCAATAGAGATTTATCAGTATCTAAACAAAACCTATACAACAACACACTACGTCCACTAAGTTTGGGCCAGCACAAACAACCCTAGATGAGAAAATACAGATTCAACCTACAAGAGCAAAACCATTCTTTGCTTTCCCAGACATAATAGTGGAGGCAAGATCTGAACACAATCCCGCAGCAAGCCTTGCAGCACGAGCCGAATGTTCATTTGCAAATGTATCAGGTGTAAAATAGCTGCAAACAAAAGTGCAAGAGACTTAAAAAGTTCCTACCAAGTTCATTTAATGTCCAAGCCAATGTCTCCCGAAACACCTAGTAATATAATACATATCTCGAGAACAGATCAAAACAGCGGGCAGGAGACCTTTACTTCATAATCCAAAAATCAATTTACAAGGTACCTCTCTTAGACTGTTCATAGTCTACGATAAAGCTTTCCAGATCCATTTCTCATAAGATTTTATACAATGAGACTGTTACTTTTTGTACACAAAGGTCACAAACACTCCAAGTCATCTGATGTAAAATCATACATCTAGGGTGTGTCAAACATCTATACAAAGTCCTAGAAATTTTTTCTTGGACGTCGAGCACAGCCAGCTGCTCAAATTCACATTTGACAGCTATGGTTGATTATAACCTTTTTCTACCACGTAACCTTATTGAATATTTTCCCTTAATAAAAAACAGTCTTTAGAGGAAACACCCTTTTCTACCAACTCCTCCACCGTGGTAGTTGGCTCATCTTTCTTACGAGATTAACTACCTTTGCAGCATAGTTTCAAAAAGCGCTAGGCGGCACCCAGGCGGCCATGGGTGTCTAGGCCGCCTAGCGCCTAGGCGAGCGCCCAAAACCTGGGCAGCCCAGTTGAAAAAAAAAAAAAACTGATGAGTGATGACTGATAATGATTAACCTGTAAGTTAATAATCCATAAGACCATAATCCCAGTCTTAAAAAAAAAAACAAGATAGAAGTCGAGAAGAGAATGTTGATAATCCATAAGACCATAATTCATATTTTCATACAATGCTAAAACAGTAAACCATACAAGCATACACTGATAGTCTGATACACTGCAGACTGTACACAAAAACATTTGATAGTAGAACTAGAAACTAGAAAGTAGAACAAGAAACTAAAAATCAGAAAAAGAAAATATACAAAAATTTAAAACATATACAATTCAGGACACAATAGTTAACACTCAACACAACAGTCAACACTCAACACCAAGAGTCTTCAGTCATCATCATCAGAAGGAATAGGGTACGATTCATCATATGCATCAGAATCGAGGTCATCATCATCAGAGTCATCTCCCTCTTCAATATAATGCTCGTTCTCCTTTGTTTCTTCTGAATCTGCCTCTTCCTCCTCTTCTTCTACCTCCCTCTTACTAATATGTGCAAATGAGGCCCTAGGAGTCTTGGCTGCTCTACCCTTTTCTATCTTTTTGTGCTTCTCTGAATTCAAATATTGTATAATTTCCTCCCAGATAGCCTCAGGAACATTTTCACACGGGACAACATCCCCCTTAATACCGGCAAGTTGTTTTTTAAACCGGTAAATGCCCCCATTAGTATCCTTTCCACAATAATTACATATAATACGGTGTTTGTCATTCGGATTCGAGTTATAACTATACTTCCAACCCAGATCACCACTTCTAGAAGAACCTAGAGAAGATATTTCCGTAGAACAAGATTCATTTTCATCATTTTCTGGTTCTTTTAAATTCATAAGTTGTCTAATCTCATCCCGAATAGCTTCAGGAACCTTTTTACAATAAGTAACATTCCCTTTAAAACCAGTAAGGTGTTTCTTGAATCGGTTACGACCCCCATTAGTATCTTTTTCATAAAACTTACACCTTATACAATTTTTATCGTTTGGTTTTGGGTTATAACCATACTTCCAACCCGGATTACTTCTTCTAAAAATAGTAGAAATAGAGATATTCAAATAACAAGGATTTTGTTCATGTTTTTGTTTTACAAAACTCAAATATTGCTCAATCTCCTCTCTGATAGCTTCAAGAACATTTTTACAATGGGCAACATCCCCCTTAATCCCGGCAAGATGTTTCTTAAACTAGTTTATGCCATCTTTCGTATATTTTTCACAAAAATTGCGTCTAATGCAATTTTTATCATTTGGATTCGGGTTATATCCATATTTCCACCCGATCTCCACTTTGACTAGATCCTAAAGAAGACATCTCAAAATAAAACAAGCAATCTAAAACATAAATTTTTGCACTTACTTTGTTGCTCGAACTCCAAACTCCCACCTCTGAGATGTTTTCTGGTGCTAAAATAATAAAAAACACCCTCTAATAGGATTATAGAACTCCAAAACTAAATCAAATCTACCTAGGTGATGTTTGGATCTGTTTTTCGTAACTTTGAGAAACACTTCGATCCAATGAAAGTCACAAAATTTAGTTTTCTTGAGGTTTCTTTCTCTCTAAAATGGGTTCTTGTGGGTTTAGGTTTGAAATGAACCTAACACCCATCATTCAAACCCTTTATATTTCAAAAAAAACAATACAACTAAAAAAACAAAAAAATCCGCCCATAGGCAAGGCGCAGGCCCTGGGCAGCCACTCAGGGCTGGGCGCTGAGCGCCCGCCTAGGTGGGTTCCGTACCGCCTAGGCAGCCACCCAGGGACTGCTGCCCAGTTTGTCCACCTAGGTCTGGGCGATGCGCCCAGGCCTTCTGGACTGCCTAGGCGATCCGTTTTTTTTAACATTGCTTTGTAGGGATATGCTTGCCGTTTGGAAGCATACATGGAGGGAGGCTACCAGGTAACAAATACCCTAGCTAAACCAACGGCGACCTCGGCTGGTTCCTAGACTTCTACCTTTTGGTTGGCTACCGGTGCTGGATTATTTGGCTGTAACCTTCGCTAAGAAGGCACTCTTTTTTTCTTATTTGGCTGTAACCTTCATTGAGAAGGCTTTTTCTTTTCATGTTTTTGCTTTTCTTTGAACTTTGGAGCATCTGCGGTGTGGATTGCCCATCTTTCTGATCAATTTAAGGTTAACAATATCAAAAGAAAAAAGTCTTTAGGAGAAACAATACAAAACAAGAGACTCTTGCCTATTTGCTGCCTAAAAGCCAAGCCACGGCACTAGGGAGCACTCAAAAGCCAAGAAGCATCTTCCCCAAATAGCCCCATAAGTGGCCTATCTCGAAACCCCAAGAGCTCATAGGCTCCTGAACTATTAATATAATACGACCACACAAGTTGTCAAAAAAACAAAAAGTCAAATCATTAGTAACACAAGGTTCAAATGCATGATTTGTATGCAATGGGCTAGGAGTTCCGCTGCAATCAATAAATTTAAAAAAATTAAAACAAATTAATAAATACAGAGAATAACATGAATATGTGATGCGGTTTCATATTCAAAAAAAAAAAACATGAATATGTGATTTATGTGGTAGCAAGCATTTTAATTTAGTATTGCCTCTATCTGCTAATTGAGTCGCTGATAGAATAATAAAGAGTAACAGGGACATTTGTTGTCTCCATTCTATGATAGTGTAATGCATTAACTTGTAAAATAAGTTAATCCAACCCATTCATCAAATTAAATAAAACACAAAAAATTTATATTATACAAAGTGACCAATCGAGCACTTAACAAATAAATTACGGCAGTGATTTCATGCAACAGTTGTATCATAGTATAATGCAACAATCTTTAAAAATCATGTTAGGGCCATTTGTTTCATCCAAATTTTGAAATATACACTCTTTTCATTCTAGTGAACAATCACAACAAAGGAAAATTTGAAAATAGAACCTAGAAAGTATTGTTTTAGCCCAATTAAAATAGGTCGTCCTTTTTTATAAGATCCTTAGATCTAGGCTTTAGAAGGATTTTTTTCTTTTCCATTTTTGTTAGATGGCCTTATTATCATTAGATGAACAATGTTAAAAAAAAAAAAATGATTTTGAGTTCGTGAAGGCTAAGATCTTGAAATTCACCAAATGAATGGCCTAGATTCGTTGTTGGAGGGGACTAATTTTGACCGTATCTAGGGTTCAAATTGAACTTTGTTTTTTTTTTAGATTGATTATTGAGATGAAGAGAGTGTGTGTGCAAAATTTTGGGTCATACAAATACAACAAACATGGTTTTCTAGAAGTGTGGCTGCATCATACTATGATACAACCATGCATGAAATCATTTCCCAAAAAATTAGCATCTAACAACTAAGTATAATACACGTCAGGCTGTGAATATATCCACAACCCAAAATGCCAAATACTAAAGAGTCTAATTTTCTAAAAGTACCTCACAAGAACATAACTCAAACTCTGCCAAAAGGATCCCCAATTTTTATCAAAATCTTCAAATTCAAAAATAAAATATGGTTCATAAAAATATGATATATGGCCCCAGAACCCCCAACACCCACCCCCCCCCCCCCCAAAAAAAAAAAAAGAAAAACCCACAAAAAAAAAATCCAAGGGCATGGAGTGACTAAAATGCCCCTGCTCATGGCCACTTTAACCACGAGCAGTTGCCTGCATATATGGGCACAAAATGTTGTGTGATGTGCTGCATATGTTCATATATGGGGGTATCATGACAGCCAGCATATGAGTGTATGTGCACCCAAGGGCAGATCCGCTTTGACGCAGCCGCATAATGCATTCATTTTTATTTTATTTTTTTCTGACCTGTTAACGGGTTATCAATGGAACCCTTTACATTACGTTGTGGCTCTGCCACCCTCACCAGTTGTAAAGAAAAACTGGTAACTGGTTAAATGCGTTCCAAGTTATTTGAACGATGCTCCCAAAAAGTTTGAAATCTGATTTAAGAAAAGTTTTGCGCTGTCAATACCATAAAATATTAAGAATAAAAGTATGAAATAAGATAATAGAGCAATCATTTACCTCGATAGACTAAAGCTTGTTGATTCAACAGCTTCAACATGCTCAGAAGTGTGGACCTGCAATTTTCAAGAATATACAAAGAAATGGCTTAAATTATGAACCAGAACAGTCTATATTTTTTTTTTTTGAAGTTGAATTTCACACTCTGGGCTTTAATTATTTATTTCCAGCAAACATGAATGGATCTTTTGGAATGGGATCTTTTAAAAAAACAGGTGATATCTTACCATCCCTAGCTCTTCACGGGTGATCTCTCTTGCAGGTAGTGGAAAACATTTTCCAGGAAATATACCTAATAAGCATCATAAAAAAGAATTTGAGAATTAACATAGAAAAAACAAGCGATGAAAAAATTGTGCACCATAAAAGTAAATGAAAAAGCACTTGGTCCACAATTTCACTCACTATAATAAATTTCACTCATCAAATGATAAAAAATAATAATAATAAATAGAGGTTACAAAAGTTGTGGGTCCCACTACAATCCTTCTGAAATGAATAAAGTTCCTACCAGCCGTTTTAAGGTTTGCAACAATTGCTCGAAGTCGATCTGGTCTTTCTGGATGTGGATGTGGTTTCTTCTCAACCTATTTTAAGATTTAAGATACCCACAATGAACAAATTGGAGCATGCCTAGAATCACCTGACACTTGCAGAAAATTCTCTACTTTTAATAGCAAGAAATAACAAACATTAGCGAAAATATTATTTGGGTCCCAGTAAGATGAGATGGATGCACTTAAAACTCACAAGTTATAGACAAGGGTTTCATATGCACGCAACATAGAAATGTATTACATTGTAAACTCCATAAGACATTATTTTACATCCTGTTATTAAAAAAAAATTATTTTACATCCCTATGGAACAATTAGCCTAAGATCAAGGAACCACAAAATTGCCACTATTTCCCAAACATTACAAAAACAAATGGTTCTAAGAAATTTGTAGTATAGCTAAAGTTTGGAGCCCATTGTGTAAAAGATTCCTAATTTTTGAGACCAAACTTCCGCACCCTTCCCTCAAGATGCACAGAGAGAGAGAGAGAACTGGTCGAGAATCCCCACCCTTCCCTCAAGATGCACAGAGAGAGAGAGAGAGAGAGAGAGAACTGGTCAAGAATAAGGCAGTGCAGACTAGTAGTCAGGTCGACCTGCTGGGCATCTAGACCTGGGTCCAGATATTGACCCAATTGATCAGGTCCAGGTGTACTTGACACGGACCCGAGTAAGGCCGGGCCCGGGTTAGCATCAACCTGACTCGACACCACACACACATGTAAATTATACATTTATACATATAGTATACATAATATTTTTTTCCTATATTTATCTCAACCCAGACCCAAACCGACCCATTTACAGCCCTAAGCTAGATTTAAAAGTGTTAATGGGAATAAGAAGCACTGGCCAAGTTCCATCCAAGTGCTTAGTATTAGTAGCAAGAAATACCACGCGATGGTAATAAGATTCATTGGGTCCCAGGAAGAAGAGATGAACGCACATAAGACACATGAGCTACAGACAAGGGTTCAGCTCATATACAAGCCAACACGTAGTAAATCCCCATGAAACTTCTTTTCTTATTCCAGTTGAAACAAACAGCTAAAGATTAAGGAACCACAAATTTCCCAATGTCTTCCAACCATTTGCATAAAGGACAGGTTCCAAGAATCTTTTAAAATAGCCAAAAGTTTGGAACCCCCATTTCATAAGATATTCCTAATTTTTTTCAATAAACCCCTCCACCCTTCCCTAAACTCATATAAGATGCAAAGAGGGAGGGAGGGAGGGAGAAAGAGAGGCCGATTGAGAACCGGAGATTTTTTGTGGACATATTTTGAGGCAATATCCAAGTTGCAGCATGTCAGCTTATGCAAACCATCCAATTATGATTCAAAGGCAAGGGCACAGAATACCACAAACAACATGCCACTGGCAACTACAGATGTATTTCTCAGTCCTAAAAAATCACTGAGTTTCAGCCTATCATGTCTCTCCATTACAAAGTCCATATCATGATATATAACAAGTTAACAACAATGATGACACAGAGAAATATGCATCAATAAAGTAAAGATCCAATGTCATTTTCTTTTTATTTTGAAAAACTGTACAAAAACAATCGGATCACCATATGCCCCATGTCGAATTGGGGAAATGCAAATATTACAAAAAAAAGATACATAGGATACCTCTAAGTGAAGCAACATTCCCTCATCAAAACCAACTAGAGTGATATCTTCTGAAGCTGGCCTTTCTGTAAGCAGGCCTAGATAAATTAGAAATACAATTTACAATAACATTATAAATTGAAGATTTCAGAATATGGACATCTCACGACTGCTAATTGAGTACAAAGTTGCGAAGTTCTTACAAGTGTTTCTGACTTGTTTTCCTTTTTTTTTTAATGGAGGAAATTGCAAAGTGTATATCTTCACAAAAGTTCTTCAGATTTCTTTTTGTACTTTTTTTTTTTTTGAAGCCTTACAATTATTATATTGGAATATGTAGCAATACTTTTACCGGAATGACAAACAAAGTCTATCACCCTTCCCCAAAAGAAGACTAAATTTTCTTGAAAACACTATAATAATACACTCATCCAAACTATAAGTATTGAATTCTCAAGGAAAAAAGTAGCATAGCTATAGTTTTTTTTTTGTTTTTTTTTTTTTTAAAAAAGATTTATAGATACTGACCTTCCAACACATCAACTGGTTTTAAAATTATAGGAACTTCTGTTGCACCTTGTGTGGAAAAAATACCATCAGTAAGGATGTTTGTATCTCGCTGCTCTCCACACACCTATTAGACACAATAAAGCAGTCTCTTGTTGGTGTAATATATACAATACAACTTGCAAATAAATCAAATGATAACATACATGACTACAAATTCTTTTTTTCAATATTGCTTTTTCATAACTAATTTTTCCAGTATTTTCAAATTCATATTCCAAACTACACAACAATTAAAACTGTACGCTACCAGCTAACACATGATACATAAAGCAGCATACATCACAATGTAGGACGTCATCAAAATTAGCCATAGTACAGTTGATACAAAACCACTTCTTATTAACCAAAGATGCTGAAAAAGGATCCCAGTCACTATCATTATCATCGTCATCTTCTAAGTAGTCCTGCTCATTATACAAATTAATTAGATCTTGGAAACTCCCATCTTTGTGCCTTTTCAAATGACTATGTGCCGAAGGTGCATTTGAACCCTCGAAACTTGGAAGATCACAATTCACAGAAACAGAGGTGCCACCAAGCTCATTACAGATTCCATCACTAAAATCTGGAGTGCACCCATTGCCTCTAATCCCAGACCCAATACTTGGGAGGGCATACTCGTGGATTTTCTCTGCTGTATCAGATCCCGACCTTTCTATGGATTGTTGTTTTTGATGAAAGTCTTCAACATTAATTAAACCACACCTAATTTCTTCATGAGTAGCATTTTCACATCTTCCATGTAAACAGGCTGCACTACGCATATATCCATCTTGGTTAGTTTCTTCAGGAAGACTATTCTTTGCAACACAGTCACTATTCAAACGCCTCAAATGAACGCCATCAGAATCCATAACCATACAAATAATTTCCGAGAAATGATTCCTCAAACTAAGCCTTGAAGGATCTTCCCACCATTGTTAGATCCTGAGAATACATATGACAGAAAAAACCATAAGAGAGATGAACAAGATAAACCAAAGCATTTTTCTCAATTCATAGGAAGATTATGCATTTTTCTCTATTCATAGATAGATTATGCACAACTAGTAACAGTCAGAAAACACACATAACATGCATGACACAGATCAAAGAAGACTAGTTCTATAAATTGGCTATATGACAAGAAGAATACTGGTAAGTACCCCCAAAGGCTGATTCCCATACCATAGATCTTTCCATAACCTAACAAGCATGCCCCCCTCCCCCCTACAAGAAAAAAAAGATGTAAACCGCTCCTCAAAGAGTTTAATCCCAAGTAACCCCATGAATCCATAAAACAAGCATGCCCCCCCCCCCCCCCCTACAAGAAAAAAAAAGATATAAACCGCTCCTCAAAGAGTTTAATCCCAAGTAACCCCATGAATCCATAAAACCCCCCAAGGTAAACAAACAAAAAAGGATGTTTAACCCCCTCCTTACCTCTTTCATTGTCCAAATTACATAATTTACCCCTCTTTTTTTCTTAATCACCCTATTATCTGAACTCTCAAAAAAAAAAAATCACCCTATTATCTAAATCCTAGAAAAGCTCTCCTCTTTTTCTTTTTTCCTCACCCGTGGACCTTTTCCTCCCTCTCTCTCTCTAACCACCTTCCCTGAATACTTATCTCTCTCTCTCGTCTTGTGAGCCTTACAAGTAAGTCAAAAGATGCATCACAAACTCAAGTTTTATGATGAGGCTATTAGAAAAAAAACATGAAGGATAAATTCAGTAATTTGAATAATGAAAAAGGTGAGGAGAGGGTTAAACGTCCTTTTTTGTTTACCTTGGGGGATTCCATGGGCTTTTTTTGAGACTAGGGGATTATTTCGGATAAAAATTTTAGAGAGGGCCGCATACGTCATTTTCCCAAAAAAAATAATATTGTCCTAAAAAATGCCCCTGTTCCTGCCAATACTAGCCCATGCCCCCGAGGCACAGTGACACATGACATTAGGAAGCCAACCTCCATCCATCCTGTATTTAGCTGGAATAACTTCCTTCTATGGATTGAGGTCCCCAGCCCAAATTCCTACCACCATTAGCCTGGAAGGACAAGGTTATTTTCCTTAAACTTTCTAATTCCCAAACCACCAAACCTTTTGGGTCGACAAATTTTGCTCCTAGCAACTAGGTGGAATTTGCGGCCATCTATTGGCCCCACCCACAAAACTCTCAAGCTTGGAAGCGCCGAAGAGGGTATGTGAAATAGGGACATGAGATAGATGGGAATATTTGCCAAAGTAGCTTTGATTAGGGTGATCTTCCAACCCCCCTTCCCCCCCAAACCCCCTCCCTCCCCCAAATAAATAAATAACTTAAGGAATCTGCCCTTCCAATTGGCTAGCCTTCTATTGAATTTCTCCACCACTAGATCCCAAAGGTGTTTCCTAAGCTTACCAATACAAAGAGGTAGACCAAGGTAGTTAGCAGAAAAGGATCCCATGCCACAGCCCAAGTGTTGGGCCACAGCTCAGACCTCCTCATCTTCCAATCTGATTCCTAGTATCTTCATTTTGGACATGTTGAACTTCATCGTTGTAGAGATCTCAAAACACCTTAGGAAAAACCATAGGTCATCCACATGGATTGAGCTAGCTTCACTAAAGATGATAGTTTCATCTACGTAAAGAAGGTGAGAAACTACTCAATATCAAAAAAAAAAAAGAAGGTGAGAAACTACTCAGTATCAAAAAAAAAAAAAGGTGAGAAACTACAAGACCATTGATTAAGATTCTGAAACCTATAAGCAGGCATAGGTGATAAAGACTAGAGATAGATTTAGAAAAAAGCTCACCCATTGTTGCAAAAAGGAAAGAAGAGAGGGTATCTCCTTTCCTAAGACCAGAAGACCCTGCAAAGAAACCTAACCTACATGATAGCCATTAATAAGAATGGAAAATGAGGAAGTGGAGATCAAACCTTAAACCATCTCCACCATTTTTCCTTGAAGCACATTGTAGCCTGGATTTCATTGACAATGTCCCAATTGACATGGTCGTACGTATTTTCCCAATCCAACTTAAGGACGGCCCTTCGACCCAACTTGTATACAGATTGGATGGCTTCAGGACCCATCTAGAATTTGTTTATTGGCTATTACTGTCGATTAAGAGTTTGAGATGACTTTGCCAAGGACCACTTTTTAAGCCTTGCCACCAGAACCTTGGAGAGAATTTGATCAGAAGAATTCAAGAGCCTGATGGGTCAAAAGTCTTTCAATTTCTCAGCCCCTTCAAACTTAGGTACGAGGGAGATAAAGGTGCACTTCATAGCACCATTGATCTGATCCCTATGGTAGAATTCATTAAAGAATGTGATGAGATCAGCAGCAAGAGTTTCCCATAAATTCTGAAATATAACCATAGGGAAGCTGTAATCTAGGAAAATGGAGAGATTGAAGAAGATGTCACACACAGAATTAGAGTTGGGTGGGCGAAGTGGAGATGTGCAATTGAAAATTTATGCAATCGCCGCATACCAATGAAGCTAAAGGGCTAGTTCTATAAGACAACTGTTAGACCAGCTTTGCTCTATGAGGTAGAATGTTGGCGGTCATCATCATCATTTTAACCTTTTCCCAATTAATTGGGGTTGTCTACATGAATCTTGGTTCTCCATTCTGCTATTAAAGGCCATATCCTCAGTGAGGCCATAAGTCTCCATATCTTGGCGGTCAAAAAACAATACACTCATAGAATGAGTGTAGCGGAGATGATGATGTTGAAATGGATGAGTGGCAAGACAATAACGGATAGAATTCGAAATGAATACATTTGGAAAAATTTAGGTGTGACACCAATAGAGGATAAGATGAGAGAGAATAGACTTAGGTGGGTTGGCCATGTGGCACAGACCCAGTACAATAGCTATTAGGAGATGCGAGTTAGTTCAAGTTGAGGGCTTGAAAGGACAAGGGGTAGGCCTAAAAGGACATGGTTAGAAGTAGTGATAAAAGATATGGGGACTTATGGTCTCACTGAGGGTATGGCCCTTAATAGAGCAAAATGACAGACCAGGATTCATATAGCCAGCCCCAATTAATTGGGAAAAGGATATGATAATGATGAACCATAGGGAATTCGTCCAAACTTGGGGCTTTGTCTTTCGCTAAATCCATCACAGCGCTATGAACGTCCTCTACAAGAAATGGCCTTTCTAGCAAGCGGCATCTTAAAGGAGAGGGAATTGAAGGTTAAGTCTGCTCGTTTAGCTCTAGTGCCCTGCTACAATGAGGAGAGGTTCCTAAAGTACCCATATCCAATCCGATAGATCTGACAAGTTTGGGGGTAGATACGATTGTCTATCACAATTTGCGTAATGCATTGGCTCTTCTCCTTGAATTGGCAATCTTATGGAAGAAGGCATAGTTCCAATCATCGACTTTTAGCCACTTCATCCTAGACCTATGGAACTAGAAACTCTCTTATTTTTTGAGGGCAGATGGCAGAGAGCAGACCACCTCTAGCCAAACTTCTATCGCAGAGTTCGCCACTGAAGAAGGGGGGGAGATTCTTCTATGTTGTCTAAGATTTGAATCTTGGAGGTTAAAAGCTTGGAATTCGCCTCTAAAGCTACTAGATAAGGATTTACTCCAGAGTTTGAGGGAAGCTTTGAGAAGCTAGAGTTTTTTAGAGAGTTGGAGCTAGCACAACTAGATACCCTTATATGAATTCTTCCATTAACAAAACTTTTGGGGGAATTTAGCTTCCTCCAACCGGAATAGTTTGAATATGAAGGGTCGATTAGGTTGGGGCAAGGGGTAAGTATCTAGCAAGATAGGTTCATGGTCGAAAGTGGTATTAGGGAGAGCCCATTGGGATCGCCACTCCTGGGAAACTAGGAATCTATCAATTTTGGCAAGGGAGAGAAAGGAGGAGATGGCTAGAGAGGGGTGTTTATCAGAGAGACGTTTAAACATGAGAGAAAGATCGAATGAGAGTTTACAAGAGAGAAGGAAATATTTAACGACAAAGATGGTGTCCATTTTTTATACATCAAAGTTTTCTAATCCCATGTCGTTCTTTCTAACCTTTTCTAAAAGAAGAGAAAGATAAGAAAGAAATCAGATGGGAGGCATATGCTGCATATTCACATCATTTTTCTCTCCAAAAGTCTATCCCATGTAACTCCCATTTGATAATCAAAATAACCAAGAAATAGACTTACCCCCAACCAGATCAGCATCATAGATATACCTAGTCTAACATCCTATTTGTGGAATCTTTCTTTTTTAAAATACTCCCTCCATTTCTAAGGCACCTGCCATATAGTCTCTAGGGATGGTGTCCCCTTCTATTCTTGTGACACATATGCATGATCTATTATTAAGAAAAAGAAGAGAGAGATAAATAGGATCGATTTTTGGGTCGTGTGAAAGTATCACTTTTGAGGTCGACTCATTTGTAGACCCAAACAGAAGGTATATTTTCTCACCCTTTTTTTTTTTTATTTATCTAGTTTGTTCTATTTTCTCTCTCTCCTCTCTCTTTCCTACAACACATCTCGGCCCCCATCAAGCACGTTTTATATTTATCGCATAGAAAGCAGATCTATACCATTGAACATCATAAATTGTACCCCACCTGCAGCAATATAGCTTAAGAATCCAAAACTTGAACCCTGTTGTAATAATATACTTAGAGTCCATCATCAAGTGTATCCTCCCAGTGTATTGTGAAGTATGCAAACTCTGAGATGATGCAATTGCTATCCATACTCATGCAGGACATCTATGTGATAAAAAGATTTGACAATTTCCTTAGGTCTCAATTGCAAACAACTTTGGCAATTTAAGCAAGGCTTAGATCCATTGTTTGCATGTGTCATCTCCACAATCAGGAAGACCAAAAATCAATTCTCTCTTATGGTCCTTCCGCTTGGCTCTCTGTCTTCACACACACACACCCCCTCCCCCCCCCCCCAAGTGACTACAACACCCTCTATTTCCTCTACAGCGTGACTGAGCATAAAATGTAACAGAATAAAACGATAGAATACTAATTTATCCTATTGTTGCAATAAATTCAAGCACAACAAAAAAAAAGATTCAAAATTGGTTTCTTGCATGAGTACCAGAAACTATAAGACATTGTACCTGAAGTAAATGACTATGACAACAGCAGAAAACAAGAGAATAACATTTAAGCAGGGAAGCAAGGCTTATTTCAAAACACATTCTTCTGGAATCTCACAACAAACATTCAAACTTTGTAGAAAACCACGTGACATAAATGTAGGTTAATCATAGCAAGGACCTCCCAAGAACTATACCACCAAAACATTAATCAATTTTCTAATACCCAAGAACCAGAAATTCAATTATTTCAGAAGAAATAAAAAATAGAAATACCTCAATGGCGAGCGGCTTCCTCCGGTTGATTTACAGGTGATCCGCTCGGTACAGTTCGTTATTCCTTTTCTCAACCGCGGCTGACAAATCTCTACTATTGCAACAAAAATGATTAACTGCGCAAACAGAGAACTAGACCACTATTTCTAAAGAAGGAGATGTGTGATCGACCATGGAAAATGCACGAATAAAATTCTAAAAGAACCCTAAACTTCGTTTATTTGAGAAACACAAATAAAAAATTCTAAACCCCATACTTTTATGAGAAAACAATAAGAAAATAGGCGGCCGGGGGGGGGGGCCATACCGGAATGCGAGCTTGATTAGGGTACCCGAAACATAAAGCACTCAATAGACTGAAAGCTTATTAAATTAGGGTTTAGCGCTAAGGTTACTTGCAGGTGTGGGACCAGATCACGGGCCCTGGATCTCGCTCTCGCTCTCGCTCGCTCGTGCGTGCGTGCGTGCGTGCGTCTGAGAAAACATCACATGCACATAATTGGATGCTATTAACATGTGTGTCTGTCTGCTTGGCGCGGTCTGCTCTTGTTTCCCTCAATCGGACGGCTAGCCTGTCGGGTGTCTCCAATGGACGGTTGATAGTTGTTTCACCAACGTTGATTCAAAAGGAGGATTCTTGCGCATTTACATCATCTTCATTAAAAAAACAAAAATTTAAACATTATCAAAGAAGTTTCATTCAAGGAAAAAAGCAAATTAATTGGAAGGAAGGAATAACAAACGAAGATTGATGTACTCCTTTTGCAAGAATTAGCTTGAGCATTAGCCTCTTGGTAATAATGATGGATTTCAACATCTATAGTTTTTTGAAGGAAAAATCACAAAATACACTCAACTATCTATGTAACTCAGCCCACTTTAATTTTTTTTCACATTTTTTTTTTTCCAAACAACATTTCCTTGTAAAAACCCCCCAAGCTAAAAAGTTTTTAATTTTTGAACGGAAATACCCTTCCCATACAAACCAAATCAATTCGCAATCCCAAGTAGAGTAGTGTCGGAGCGCAGTATACTACTGCTGGAGTGGAATGTCAAGCAGCAATGCCGGAGCGCGGTGCTACATTGCCGGAGCAAACTGTCGGAGTGTGTATTTTCAGTGTCGAAGTACGTTCTCAGATTGCCGGAATGGACTGTCGGAGCGCAGTTCTCAGTATGCCGGAGCGCACATTCTGACTGCTGGAGCACAGTCCTCCATTGCCTGAGCCGAAGGCCATGTGAAAATAAATGAGGGTATTTTAGTCCTATTTTATGTTACTTTTGGATTGGAGGTTTTTGCGAGAAAAGGTTTTTTGGGGGGAAAAAGTGTGAGAAAAATTGGGGTGGGGGTAAGTTGCGTAGATAGTCTATTTTAAAGTGTATTTTGTAATTTTTTATTTTTTAAAATATCCCATATCTTATGAAAAATATGGTCAGCCTCTATAGAACATGAACTTCACCTTTATTCTAAGCTATAATGTTTGATGAATCCCCTTCTATGATCTTCACTTCCTCCAATCATGACAATAGTTAACGCTTTTCAAACTCATTAAATGTAGTAACACCACAAGGGCCACAGTAAGAACAAATAACATTCCCCGAGTGGTCCTTTATCGGTCCACCAAAACCAAGTGCGCGTAGGTTTCTAAAATAGCTTCCATCAAAATTCAATTTGCGTACATTAGATGTTGCTTTGTGATGGCTGCTACTATTAAAAATATTGAAAATGTCGTGAAATCCAAGGTAGCAATGCTCCATGCCTCGGGCCGGCTTGGATCCCTATCGGGCGAACACGATTTGTGAGAGCCTCCCTTCCACCTCCAAATCCAAAATCTCCTAGTGTTAAACATGCCCTAAACGTCTCTCTATTTCAAGGAAAGGAATCAAAACTTTATTATTACAAAGTTCTGCCGAAAAATTTGTCCTTGATAATATAAAAAATATCTTGCATGTACAAATGCACAAGCATGTAAAGATCGGAATCACTAGATGTGCCTTTTTCTAGAGATAAAGTTTGCACAAGAAAATAAAGGGTTGAGAAATTGGTATGTATGTATGAAAGCACTGTCTTGATAGGGATTTTTCAGTCCTGTGTATAACGTGAAAAAAACAAGAAGGAAAAAGTCATTTCAACTTTGCCCAATGTGATTGAGCGGGGTATTCGAGTTTGTATTTATTTATTTATTTTAAAATGAAAAAAAAAAAAAAAACTTTTATTTTGGGGAGGGTTTGTTTGGAATTGAGCATGAGAATTAGCGTTGTGAATTGTCAAGTGCTCAGCCCATGCTCTTTTCTGTATTTATTTGCGTTACCAAAGAGTGCACAGCTTTGTGGTGGGGGTTCCCACCCTACCGAGTTCCGGCCTGAGTGGCGCAATATTGCCCTTCTTTGGCCCTTGTCCAATAAGTGCAAACAAATATGGCTAGTCATGAGCTCGACCTACACAAGAATGCTAATGTATATGTAAAAGCGAGCCCATGCTTCAATTGTTATGCATAGGTATATTCTCTCCCCGTGGTGCGTAGAATACGACAAAAGATAATATATTTATTTAACACGGACTAAGAAATCTATTATTTCTCTTGGTTTTGTGTTTTGGGTAAGCTGTCTTTCTCTACAGCATAGAAGTTCTATCCTCCCCTTACCATCTAGCCATCTAATTTGGATCAAGAGGGTCA